CATTTTAACCCTATGCATTTTACACATATACACATATTCATTGGGTGTTTGTTTGCCGCGTACACTGCACCACACCCCCAGTCGAACGACCGCCAACTCCGCCCGAGGACGACGAGATGGATATCGACCGCCCAATTTTTACCCAGAACCCACGCAACATCTTTTGTCCAAGTCCTGTCAGACCGTTCGCCGTGAGCCCGCGCATCTTTGTCAGCGCGCCTTCCTCTGCAGATATGAATACTGGCTCTGCTGGCATCAAAGAACCGAAACCGAGCCCAACCTTTGCTCGTTTTGGCCCCTTTGAAACTAGCGAGACGAGTCTGAAGCGCGATCGCTCATCTGCCTCTGCCGAGCCTGATAAAAGCGAATGCAGTCCCTTCAAGAAGCGCCTCATTGGCTAAAAATCCAAACTTATCGGGGGGAATCCACCTATTTCTCCACTGCTACTGGTATATAGAGTGTCACAGACTCGTTGGTCTCTTTCGTTTCTTATTTTATCCTGACCTACCACTTGTACACCATTCACATTCAAGACTCCAACACTTGTTGATTGATCATAATCAATTGCTATTCTTATCGTCGTTGAAAGTAATCTTTCCGTCGACACTACTCTCTTGCCACTCGCTGATTCTGCCTATGATATATCCCGTAGATGCTGTGTAGTCTCTGCGTTGTTGTTGTTCCATGCTCGACTTGAAGAAGAAATGGTCTCAAGTTTGATTGTAATTGCAATCAATGCCCTGCTCATTATACCCGACGCACACGTTCGATGAGTTAAAGCTAGAAAAGGGGGCGTGATATTTGAATGTTGTTATGTACATGGAGCAATATAATGTTAAGTATAAAGGGGATTAAAGTGCTGTGACAACAACATTAGCAACAAAACAACATGACAAGTAGAAGAATGGGAAAGCGCGCAAGTTCCCTGTATATGACAGACTGCAAGAGAGCAGGACGTAGACTCGATCGTTGTGTGCGCATGTGCGCAGGGGGGGGGTATCAATCTCTGGAACAACGAGAGAGCAAAAGAATTCATGTCATGAAAAAAAAGTCTGTAGCAAGTAAAAAGAAACTTCTGAATCGACTAGACGAGCTGGATTGAGATCGCGAAAAACTCGGATGACTGATGAAGATCTAGCTGAGGTGGAGAGCTTGCAGAGTGGTGAGATAGATGGTGTGAATGGCGTCTTCGAAAGAAAGAGAGTGGTACGGAGGGGGCGGGAAAGCGCTAAATGGATTATAATATTTCGTTCGGATGTCGACTGCATGTCTTTCGCGGTTAATTTACTTTTAGGAAATTTTTCTTGGAAATATTTCTTGGGACCTGCCGACGGTGGAGCATGGAGCAGGGACTCGACGAGTGAATAATGAAACGAGGCCAAGGGGTGTGTGTCGACCAGTGCCGAGCGCAGGGGGGGGAGAGGGACCAGTGGACCAGTAGGGCGGTTGGGAGACCGGACGCCGAGGTTTTGGATGGCCGCACTTTGCTGCTACCTTCGACGAGCGCGCAAACTGATAAGGATAAGAAAACTCCGTTATGTACAAAATTGTCGAATACCCTTTGATGCCGGTCCGCAAGTCCCCAAATTGAATTCTATCGACACGTTTCTCGATCCCCTGTCATATTCATTTCTTTATATCGTCTTCCTCGTCATCTGTAAATGATGACGTCTGCTCTGCAGCGTAGATGAGGTGAGGAGTTGCCGCAGGGATGCTGCCAGCGCCCGCCAATTGCAGGGAACGATGTTCCGACCTTCTACTCTGATTGAGACGGTTCGTGTTTGCCCCGTGGCTCGGCCTACGATGCATAATCGATGACGAGTAGTCTAGCTCGTCATTATTCAGGGGCATGGTCAAGGCTCTTGTAGGTGACGCTCTTCGGGCTGTCCGTGTAAGCGGGCTACCAAACGAAGAGGGTAGCGGTGTTCCTTCGATGGTCAGCATTCCGATCTCGACATCCTCTCCTGTAGTCGGAAGTGGCTTTCGGCGAGTCTTGGGCGATAAGAAATAAGGTAGTGGCGATAGTGTCGCGAGAGGAGACGGGAAGGGGGAGGTCGGGAGAGAGGAGGATGCCGTCGATGAGGCGCCAGAGACATGTATCGACTTTGATGATGAGGAACGAGATAGTGGCTTGAATTTGAAAAAATTGGAAACGCTGGAACGACGAGACCTGATCAAGGCAGATTAGATGTGGGACCAATCGAGGAAGCGAAAAGTGTGGGACCCGATAGCGAGTGTGGGTGTGGTGCAGTGTACGCGGCAAACAAACACCCAATGAATATGTGTATATGTGTAAAATGCATAGGGTTAAAATGAAGAACTCACGATTTGTCTGGCGCCACTGCAGAGGAGACGGGAGGAGATTGGCTACGAGTGATACCCAATACGAAATTGTCGCGTTTGAAGAGGGAGCCAAGAATTGGTGTGACAGGCCTGGATCTAGATTTTGAATGGCTACGGCTGCGGTCTTGCCTTTTTGGACGAGCCGGTAAATTGACCTGGTGGGCTTGGGAGGCCGCGTCACTTGCAACGTGCTGACCAGAGCGCTCCCGTTCAATCCGCAGGTTGTAAGCTAGTTCTGCAGCGCGTCCACGGGCGGCCAGCCTGGCATAGCGAAGACGCGTTTCATCGGCCTGGACCTCCAGGTCGTCGTCGTCGTCGTCGACCTCCGACTCTTGTCCATAGTCAGCTGGTACGTCAACGACTTGTGCCTCCGCTTCTGCTGCTTCTTCTAGTTCCTGGGTGTGGGTGGGTGGTATGCTGTCGTTAACCGCAAGGTGCCTGAGTCGTTCTACGATGAGGTGTTGCTCGTCAGGACCATTGTCCGAAACACTCCTCTCTCCCCTGCCCAACGCGAACCGTCTCAATCAGAGTAGAAGGTCGGAACATCGTTCCCTGCAATTGGCGGGCGCTGGCAGCATCCCTGCGGCA